GAGATCATTTGAGAAGCATTAACATTTTTTGTATTGTCATGTTTGTAGTAAATAATATTGATAATTAGAATTGATTTGTGAGAATTATTGTCAAAATGCCATTGAAAATTTAGTGCACCAGTAATTTTGCCCCACCCTGTAGGTCATCGTTTATGTTGAGACGTCTCGAAAAGACGACCAACGATGATCACACTTCCTTGAAAGCTCTGTACGAAAGGAATGAAACGCTTCCTATCCTCGTGAAATGAATCCAGCTATTCTGCTAATCGCCAAGTGACAAGGAAAACGGAGATGGCGCTCCCTGTCGCGTACCGCAAAGACCGCTCCAACGGAACCCTGGGCGCGCCGGCGCCTGCGAAGTACTGCAGACATGACCCACTACGATCTACCCGTGATCGTGCGGAAACGCACGGGCCGTTCGCAACGGCACCATCACGGCCTGTCCCGGTGTTCCCCGTCTGTCATCAGGTTCTGCCCCTATTCGTCGGTTCTGCAGACTCGCAGGGCGTTAGCCCTTAGAACTCTTATTCTGGATGTTATTCTTAGTTCAATCTTCTGTGGTCGATCGGCGGGTCGAGGAAAGCGACCCGACGTGAGTTAGTTTAATGAGTTACTAACATTACTTGTATTAACCACTAGTTCATAATACATTAAGAGTAGTTCAAAATCATAAATACTTAGTATCACTTATGTTAGCGTTATGTAGCAATAGGGTTTTAAACCCACACGTTACCTACTTAATAGTTAGGTCTCTTAAAGTATGGTTCGTGGTTGCCAAGGTCAGTTAGCTGGCCGTTAGGGTAATTAGTTCATATTTAAGTTAGTAGTCGGCGCGGGGCTACTAATGGTTGACTGTTGCACTATTGTCCCTCGTAGTTCAGCCGGGGTTTCCTTCAAAAGTGGCACTCAAGCCCTGTCCTGGACCCACCGACTCGCAACATGGTGCATCGGCGATGGCGAAGCGGACTCGTTCGGTTTCTTTGCCCGTTGACCTCCGATAATGGACGAGCTAGCAACCAATTAGGAGGTCGTTTGCACATGTTATGCTGATAGCCTCTATCATTTCAGCAAGCATCATGCTTTGATTGATCACGCATCCCATGAAAAGTTATAGGATACACTCTGGAAGTGGAATATCTCGTCACATTGGCAATCGAAGGGCGCTGCTGCTGGGGGCGGAGCACAGACCGTGGCGGGGCTCAGAAAGGAATGGCAAGCCTTGTACGCTGCAACTAGCGCACCTTTGACCACAAAAACGCAACATTTCGTTTCCTTGGGCCCCTGACTACTGCTTCCAATGGTGCATGTACTTCCACGCTGCATACGCACTTTATCGTAATCTCTCGCTTTAAGGAGGGTCGCAGCAACATCGAAGGACACGGAGGAACGAGTCAAAGGGACGGGTGAATCCACAAGGCGAGTGGAGGCGATATACGGCCTCCAGCCAGAGCTGTAGTAGCGCCACAGCGATGGCCGGTAGACTGTTGAGACATGTCCACGTACCTGTAAGTTCCAAGCAATTGGACGCACTGAGGGAGAGGCCTCTCAAAACCCCTCTACCATGTGGGTTGGCCACCCAATGAGGTAGCTAGGGTGAGGTGTTATTCGGACGGGTCTACCATCTCAGTGGATTCTTCCTTTGACTAGTTCAACCGTTAATTCAAATCCCACTGTACTACATCGTAACATCAATAGCTCAAAGAGTATAGTTCATCCTACGGTCAAAAACAAAAGGGTCAATGGTACAGGCAGTCAACAACAATAAAATGAACTAACAATAAGTAAATCAGTAAAGCCAGTAAAAAGGTAAATAAGCAACATTCATATAAAATGTAGTACTTACCTTAGTTCATCCTGTAGGTAGTGGTGCATTTATTGCGTTTTCCTTATTCCTTTCTTCATTTGCTTCATTTTGTTCGCTTCATTCATGCATTACTCGTGTATTTGCGTATTACAGTATCCATGTGTTCCACTCAGGAACCTCATACTACTCTCAACAATATTAACACTCATTGAACTAATATCACGTCGGTCGCTTAACAAAAACCCGTATAAAACACGATCAAACACTGGTTCGTGGGCTCAGGAGGTGCAGGCAGAGACTACTCCACCTCCATCGCAGCCAGCGGTCGATACGGCAGCGAAGGATAAGAAAGAACAAAAGAGGTTGGAAGCAGATATTTCAACCGCGATAGAAAACCTGAGCGTCGAAAAGAAGAAGACGACCGAAGAAGCGATGGATACGTCGGAAGTAGTTCAAGAAAGAAGATCCTTAGTTCATGATGTCAACCCAAGCGATTGGGAACCCGCGAGAGCCAGTGACGCCCCAGCAGGCCCACTGGAAGTTACGTGGGATACGATGGTCGCTGCAGGAAGGAGCATGATGAAGAAGAAGGAGGAAAAGGAGAAGGCACTGAAGAGAAGAAAAGAGAGAATGGAAGCAGTAGTTCATTTTCTAGAGGAGTACGACAGAAGAAAGCCTTGGGCTACTTACCCGCATGGGCCGTTAAGAGTCAACCCGGCACCTACTTCATTAATGAAAAAGCCAGATGTTACTCCATATAGTTCATTACAGGTAGAGCCGTACACTGTAGAAGAATTGACAGCTCGTCAATTCCGAACTGTGTTCGACTATATTACTACAAATAATATTTTACGGGACCGCGTTCGTGCATCACTATTCCAGACAAAGAGACGACACCAGCGCGTCCCGCAGACTACGAGTTAGTCGCACGTGTAGTTCATATACTTCAAACCCTCTAGAAATAGTTCAACATACTACACAGTCGTTTCATAATCTTGCAGTAATCCTCGTCAGACGCCAGCCTCTCGAGATCAGGTTTACTCATCTCATGGTTGGATAGACGAACTGGATAGACGAACTGATGCACAGCATCACCGCGATCACAGTCAACCGCGACTTACTTCAAGAACTGATGCTGCCACGACTGTTTAGTTGGTCTCAGGACCTCGACTACTTCAGAGCCACCCTCCAATTGTTCAATATTACAGAAGACACATTCACGGAAATACTTCAACATAGTTCAGCTGTATCCGCTCACGCGACTCGCATGATCAGAGTTATGGAAGCTCACCAAATGGTCCACTTCCTTAACAAAAGGAAAGTGCGAGTCACGAAAGAGGACGAAGAATATCGACTTAGTTCACAGATGCACATGCCACCTCCTTGGCCGGAGGAACCGGAGTCGTACATCCAAACCCTCCGTTGGTGGCGGGACAATTATTCAGATGCGCTCATGATTAGAGCCACGGACGAGTACTTGCAGATCTCGTCGATGGACAGACGTCTGCAAGAGCAAGCCCGCGGCCCAGAGCGCCAAGTAGTTCAACACCCAGCACAGCCTCTGAGGTCAATAGAGGTACCAAGGCTAGAACCATATACTACATGGCCCACAGATAATCCAATATTGCCTCCCGCTGTGCCCCCCCAGGCTGGACAACGGTCCACCTTTAGTTCAAGGCCCGGCCACGAGCCTACTACATTGGGCAAGAGAAGGACTAATACAGGTGACACAAGTCGTGACGTAGAACCTCCAAGATCCAGGTCACGTCTTAGTTCAGAATATCGTTCACCCAGTCGTAGTTCATCAAGAAGGCCACAGGGACGCCCAGCAGCTCCACACCGCTCTCGATCGGCTTACCCAAGGCGCACGGTGCCTTCGGAATCGCATGGAAGAGTGGAGCCCTGCGTCTTCTGTCTCAAAGACGGTCATTATAGTTCAGATTGTGACTCGTATCCTTACCTCAGCGATAGAGCTCATCTGGCCGCCAGGGACGGTATTTGCAGCAACTGCCTCAAGTCACACTTCGGGATATGTATCCGCAAGGATCCTTGTAGCATATGCTACGAGGAGGGTCACCATAGGGCATTCTGTGTCCAAAACTCCTTTGCCATCTACGACGTAGACGCGAGCCCTGAGGAGTTCTATGATCAACTCAGGGTTCAAACCTACCGTCAACCACCAAGGGGTGCCATCCCGCGTCGTCGGTATGAACGCTCTTATCACGACCGTGATAGGAACGTTGATGTCGACCAACCAGGGCCTTCCAACCAACCGCCTCCGGAGCGGGAACGTTCTCCGGAACCTTCCGCTTCCGGCCTGGGTCGTCAAATGGGCTTCTCACCAGCCAATAGCGATGACTCTTGGTGAGGCAAGGATATGATAGTTCACTAGTTCAATGATCTCGTTGCAACTCTAGTTCAGAATCTAAACAAGTGTCGGGTGTCTAGTTCATTTTACTCCTAGCGTTAGTCTAATAGTTCAATAGTTCAATGTCGGTTCACGTATGGCCAAAGGAATCAACTACTACATCGAGGATTTTGACAGGGAGTCCTAGGGTGAGAGGTTTGAATTAAAAAGAGATTAATCCTTTATGTTTAGGGACGATTTATGACGGTCTCTTATGTCATCTTCTCTACGACGATTCTTTATGGCCACTAGTTCAATTCAGGATCTTGACTCCTGAGTTTATTTTCTTAGTTCAATTTATTTCTCGTTGTTAATCCTTTTATAATTCAGGTCCGCGTACGTGTGCCAACGGGTATTGAAGACGGTGTTTTCCGACGCTCAATTCCGACGCCTCAGGATTCAAACCCCTGAGTTTATTTTTGTTTTTCTCTTTTTTATCTTGATTGATCTCGCTTAGTTCAGGTTAGTGCGTTTGGTTACATCGGTTTCTCCGTCGGTGCCTTTACGTCGGTGATCTTATGTCGTAGTTCATATTAGTTCACCAGTTTTGCTCCGCCCGCTATCGCGCGCATCACACGGCAGGCTTTAGCGAAACTGGAGGACCCATGGAATATCAGCATGAGGTACTCCATTAACCACCTCACTATTGAATGTGTTAGACCTTTCCCAGTTTCGCTGAAGTCCATCGAGAATACGCGTGATAACGTCTGGAGCTGAACTGGCATATTTATCTCACAACTGTAAACATCCAGCATTCTTCTTGAATTCAGATAATTTAGCGGTGAATAGGATTGCTGTCAGTCTCAAAATGAAAATGAAATATGCCTATTTACATAAGTGAGGAGCTAAGGCTTATCATTTATTTACATTCACCATTATTTAGAACCCCGAAAGGATTAGCGGTTTAATGAGTTTGGGCTTTCTTGATAGAAATGAAACTTATCATTTGCTGAAGACTTGATTGAGTTTATGCAATCGACTGCTATTAAGTAAGCTGGTCATACAATGATACAATGTGCACGTACCACTACCACTGCAAATAGAATTTGTAAGTAGGGACGCTCTAGTATCAGCGCAAGCTACGCAAGCTGCGTTCTGACGCGCCTTATCAGCCTTTATCAGTTGTAACCACTTTCCATCACCCACCAACAATGTCCCCGTCCCACCCCACATAACACTTGTAAGTATGGTTGCTCTGGTGTCAACGCGAGCCAGGTAACGGAATCGACGACTTTTGCGTTCTGACGCATCTTATCAGCCCTTATCAGTTGCTATCGCTTTCATCATGTACCACCAATGTCCCGGGACCACCCCACATAACACTTGTAAGTATAGACGCTCTAGTACCAATATGAACGACAAAACGAAATTGGCGATGCTCGCTTTCTAGCCCCTCTTATCAGCTA